ATCCATAGAACACATTAATCACCATAGCCGATCCCAACTCCACCACTCGAATGGCTAACACATCATTCGTACACAATCATCCCACGAGAAATACTTCCAAAATTCTTCCGTGCCACATAACAAAAATCGGAACATTAGCAGTCGTTCAACCAGGCGAATACCGCAATACCAATGAAGCATCCGAAGTCAGAGCACAGTGCGCCTTCTAAAATACGCACCCTTCTCAGGTAATACCAAGTAGTAATAACATTCATCTAAACATCTGAGACCGTCCATGCTGTCTAAAATTCATGACCTCCCCTTTCGAAACTTAGCCACAAACTAGTACATGCAAACCTCAATCCCACACGACGCACCGCGTCTAATATACAATCAAATAAAATACGAGAATCCAGTTATCAACTCTGAGCCACAAGCAGGAGTACATACTCAATCAGTCAGAAACCAAGAAAATTACAACACGCAACATACCCCTCATACCTGTAGATAATATCCATCTCAAGCCTGACAGAAATCATCGAGAACACTTCGAAACCCATTTGCACATAACCAATCCATCAGAACTGAATCCCTCTAACTCAACCAAATCATGCAGGTCACTAAGCCCAAGAATATTGCCACAAAAAACCAGTAAAGCCTCACCATATCATAAGAACCTAAATAATCGATCATTTCCATTACCATGCTGATCCGATCTACCACTAAGTTGTCATATTTCTCCGAGTTCCTTCCGAATTTCCTTCAAGTTAACGTTTTTCCTTGCCAGAACACCACGATCCTTACCCAAAGCTCACCACAAGAGATCCTAGCATGAATTCACGTCGTCTTAAAGCCCATAAGCCACTGTATTTCCTCTTGAGCACCCAAAATACCTCATCCGAGTTACCCACTCTGAAGAGATCTTATGTGAATATGAAGCTGTTTCTTTAACCTCTTAAATGTTGAAATATAGAATCCATAATGATACAGAAATACCGCGAGTACCGACACCATCCAATGCAAATCCCAAATCTTAGCCATATACAAATCCGAAAAATTCTCAAATGCCACATGAATATTGAACTCTTTAGAACCTTCTCGGTAGTTATCCACCCCGTTCAAATCTCAAATGCACCGCCCAAAACGAGCCGAACGACCTGTGTCCCATTAGCGCACCAACACCCAAAAGAGTAATCCACACCTCTAAGCAACCGAGTGAACCCCTTTTCTTAATACATTACATCCACCACGAACAACAAACCTAAACCATTCCAAAACTTCCATATATCCATAAGGTGTAATACGTCATGCATACAGAAATCTCCTTGCTTAAGTCATCCTCAAAACCAACCTCTGCAAGTCATAACCGATCCCTAAGTATGCCTCAGACTGAAACCAATACAATGCCTAACCATGCAATCAAATCGCGATAGCAGTCTCCCTCACTTGGCTCAAGACCATAGAACAAAAGACCCGATAACTCACAATACCCATACTCTATTACTGCTATAATCCCGCACTGAAACTCAACTAAATCATTCATAAGCTCATGCAACACAACCCATAAAATACCTTAAATCATCTGCTAAGCTCGCATTCTCCCTCGTGGTAGTGAAGTCAACTTTCTCAACCGATCCAACTCAATCGCAACACATATAACTCATTGGTAGAAAGAAACGCTCACACAATATCATAAGAATCACATATCCCTAGACCACCCCGCAGGAGATAACCTATCTGCTTAGCCTCAAATTGGCATTTCACTACGCCCTACCATGGCCACGACCATCATACAATCACTTAATCTTCCCGAGTCTAAACTCGTCAACAAGACATAAGAATCCACTTCATCCCATAACTGGACAACATGAAAGATCCCTCAACACGAACATAACTCGAGACCGTACAACACATCAAAATCACGAATCACACTCAATTCAAGCCTAATGAAACTAATGAACTTCCAACTTCTAAAACTAATGTTGAACCGTATCAAATCAACTCCGAATGATTTCAAATTTTGCACACTAGTCCCAAATGACACAATGGACCTATTCCAACTCCTGGAACCAAAATCCGAACCCGATATCAACAAAGTCAACTCTCGGTTAAACCTCTCAACCTTCTAAACCTACAACTTTTCAATTATCGCCAAAAAGCCTCGAACCATCCTACGGACCTCCAAATCAATATCCGGACATACGCATAAGTCCAAAATCACCAAATGAAGTTATTGGAATCACCAAAATTCCATTCCGGTGTCGTCTACACAAAAGTCAAACTCCGGTCAACTCTTTCAACTTAAGATTTCAACCTTGGGACTAAGTCTCCCAATTCAATTCGAAACTTCCCCTCAACCAATCCAACCATCCCGGCAAGTAATTTAACCCGCAAGTGAACACAGTAGAAGCAATAAATAGGGTAACGAAGCTACAGTACACAAAACGACCGGTCGGGTCGTTACACCATGCAAGATACGAACCAACACCATCTAATTTTACCATACTAATACCATATGAAACAGAATTATGTTATCTATTGTTTTTGAGTCCCCCATATTTTTGAACAATCCGAAGCGCACAAAAAAAAAAAAAAAAAAAAAAAAAAATCTAGAATATAAATGCTAAACAGAAGAACCTGGTGACCCAAAACAACCTTCAAAATCTGAAAAAAGGCTACCGGAGCTAACTGGTTACGCGGACTTGTCTTCTGTTATTCGAAAAAATCTGAAACCTTTTTGGGTAGGTCGTATAGTAGACATAATCCTTCTAGTGGTACCAGTTTTTGTATAGAACTGACGGAGGGCGAGATGAAAAGCTTTAGATAGAAACTTTAGCAAGAAAACTATAAGAAAGAGGGAGAAAACTCAACCTATGGAACCCTAGTGCTGCAGAGGGAGAAAATGCACCTCAAAAGGGCAGCAATGGCTTCTGACACCCTGATGAAATTGAGAAGAAGAGAAGGCTTCTTTGTATTTCAATGTATGCTTTACATCCTACTGATATATGCCTTTATACAAAAGTCCTAAGAAAATAAACGAAAGTAATGAGAGAATATTCAGTTACGATACAATCTTCCTATAATCAAGCTATCCTACAATCAAGCTATTAATTAAAGATTTGATTCTTTGATTCTTCTCCTATAATTAAGCTGGTCACAGAAAGCGAATATACTCTCAATTCTCAGCTATCTAAGGTTACTTCAAATATTTTCATTTTCAAACTATGGCCCCTTTTATCTCTTTGTATATCTTAATTTTGGCACTCATTGTCCCTTTGTATCATTTAAAACATGAAAACATATCATAAACTTCTGAACATATCATAAGCTTCACATTTGAATCATAGTCTAGTCTTTCAGACAAATCATGTGATGCATAAGAAAATTATAATGTGCATAAAGACAATTATCATGTGAATACATTCGCTCGTTAAAGTCTAAATCATGAGATAAACTTCAGTTCTTTCATACCTTCAAAACATAAGTCATAAAACATAGAATGATAGATTTTATACCGTTTCATATTAAAATATAGCATTTCAATGCATTTGCATAATTTGCATGAAAACTTGGAGTATGCGGGCTCGTTTTCCCCTACGAACATGTATGCACATTCTAAATCGCATTTCTAATCACTGAACCGTTCACTTTTTGAGGTGAACGCTTCAAGGAAGGTTAGGTTTCCATTTACCTCAATCTCTTGCCTCAACAATTCAAACAACGCTCCGACACGTTAAGTGAAGTGAGACATATAATATTACAACTCATTTTCATCAATTCATATCCATTATAAACTAACGTGACCAATTTGGGTCTTGGGTATCGGATTCAAGACAGCCAAAACCTTAATTCTTCCTTAATGGCAACAATTTAACTTCATCAATCTAATCACATATATTTATTTGGCTATCAAAGCCATTTAGGTCATTACACTCAATTAACATTCCCAATTACTCTCATCATCTTCCCCAATTATCCCAACCGCATCCATCGAAATCCACTTCTGGGGTTCAACTAATACTTCAATCAAACCATGATTTCTTCTCATAATCACCGTCTACATACTCATCTATACATCGTATATGGAGTTTGGGTAATGGGGTTACCTCTTGTAGTCAAATTCCTTAAGTTCCATACTTGGGAGATTCTTGAAGATATTGAAATCTAGTGAAATGAAAGATTAATGGATGTTGGGACTAGCATTTGGTGAGCATAATTGACTCAAAATACTCGAAATCACTACCTTAGATGGTACCCCTTGGCTGGGTACGACTTTTGGAGCTCACAACCCTAACCCCTTTCTCCCTTTTTTTTCTCTTTCCCCGATTCACGGAGTATTTATAGAAAGGAGCTTCTCCCAGCCACAAGCTCCTTTGCCCTGCCAATTGTTTTTTCTCGCGGCGTGATCCTTTGGATGGTTGAGGTCTGATTCTTCCGATTGGCTTGCGGTAAGGCTAACTGTATTGTTGGCATTTTTAAGCTTGTGATGGTTCCACGTGATTGACTCGCGCCTCGAGCTTACCGCGAGACACCACTGTAGCCTATTCTAGGTTTCCAAATTTCATTTGACACTTTCTTGCTATTTATTAACCTTATACCTTTCCAAATCATACCAATCATCCAGTATAATGTTCCAAGCGAATTACCTACATCGTGAGGCATCACTAACACATTTGCGATACTTTAATCACATCATTAGACTCATAACTGTCGCAATTACTGTTCAAAATCTATAGGGCCTTACACATGGCTTCATGAGTCAATTTATGCATATAATGTGTAAGATAGTGTACAGATAAAAAGTACGTAGACGTGTGGCATAAGTGTAGACNTATTTGTGCATTGATATAATACATAGGTATGCTTATGGCTTGCTGATCTGTGACTATGTGACTTGCATGAAAAATAATTGTATGGTATATTATCCATCTTTTTTTTGGATATATATTTGTGTATATTTTTATTTCTCTATTCATCAATTTGTAACAATGACTCTGAAATGAATGTCATCTGCTGTATAGGTTGGTCTAAGCGGTAGTGGGAAAAGCACTCTGGTGAACCTGCTCCTTCGGCTTTATGAGCCAATGAGTGGGCAGGTAATTCTTGTCTTGTTCAATGTTAAAATAATATACTGTTGAATTATGAAAATATAGAACATGCGCTTCTTGAGGAAATTGTACAAGCTTAAATCTCACTTTAAGAGGCCTTGAGAAAAACAGTTACCTTTTCCACCTTTCTTTCTCACAAAAAAGAACATCTTTTTCTTCCAATTTGCTTGTTTTGGATCTGAAGATATCTATTGATGGCTACCCACTTAGAGATTTGGACATCAAGTGGTTGAGGGAAAGAATTGGATATGTGGGACAGGTTAGCCTTATTAATTATTATTTTCCCAATTTGAGTTTAGTATGGTTTTATAATATCATATTACTAAGATATCTTGAACAGGAGCCTAGACTTTTCCGCATGGATATCAGCTCAAACATAAGATATGGCTGTAGTAGAGATGTCAATCAACAAGACGTAGAATGGGCTGCTAAGGAGGCTGCTGCCCATGACTTCATTTCATCTCTACCCAATGGCTACCACACAGTTGTTGATGATGATTTGCTCAGTGGAGGCCAGAAGCAGCGAATCGCAATTGCTAGAGCCATTCTTAGGGATCCAGATATCTTATTACTTGATGAAGCCACTAGTGCTCTAGATGCAGAGAGTGAACACAACGTTAAGGTACGTTTTATAAAAGTTGTTTAACTGATAGAGATTGTTGAATTGCCCGCTAAATATGCATTTCCAATTCCCATAGGGTGTGCTTCGTTCTGTCAGAAGAGAACTGAACTCAAAGAGAACTGTCATAGTAATTGCACACAGGTAAAATTGCCTTTGTTCTTTCAACAGAACCATGTACTAGCATGTAATATTGACAAACTGCTACTCACAGGCTTTCGACAATCCAAGCTGCTGACAGAATAGTTGTGATGGAAAGTGGAAAAGTTGTTGAGGTACAAATTATGGCTTTTAACTTATCAGAGTGAGAGTAGCTAACGTATTATTCAGTCTCCTTTCTTGTTGCGATCTTCGCTTCTATGTTGTGTGATTCAGTCTGTCAGGCAGCTCTAGCATAGCTGCATTAAGACTAGTGCATTTACCATCATGACAGTGGTCCACTCTGGGCTGGTTTTGCGACGCCAAAGTTTGTGTACATGTAAATAAAGAGCTATTAGTCTATAGTTGTCCATTTAGCATCTAACAAGTTGCAATCTGGAGGTTCTCATTCTGTTCATAGCTAAGAGCTGCCCGCCTCTCTCAATTAAGTTTTGGTCATATCACATGTCTCCTGGCTCTAATCACTCTAGTAACTCTGATTTGGATGATCAACCTCTGATCTTACTTTTGCTACATTCAGATGGGTGGCCACAAAGAGCTTCTCCTAAAGGATGGCTTGTATGCTCGATTAACAAGAAGACAGGCTGATGCTGTGGCATGAACTCTTGTTAACTGACATAAATGTTCTGGCGGATTCTTTGACCAAGTACGTTCCTGATTGGACGCTGCAGATAGGTTGGTGTTTTTTCTTTTCGAGCAAGTTTAGCAATGTATATGCACCAGATTAGGTATAGGCTTCAGAATGAAAAAGGCAATACAAGATTAGTTGCAGACATTGCAGTTCGACCATCTCAGGTTTTCTCGTGAGAAGGTTGGCTTCAAAGATTCTGCTGCATCACCGGCCAAAGCTGTAACCATTGAGTTTTGACAGCGATTGATGCATAACTGGTTCAAGGGGTGNAACTTGTTCAAGGGGTGCGAGTAATATATAACCTGTTCAAAGGGTATAGATAGCAGATATGTTTATCGACAAAGAGCAGGTACTGTTGCTACAAAGTTACAGAAAAAACCCATCAATAAACCAAGGCCCATTGTGTGAGGCTCGGCTCATATTTTCTTCTTTTAGGAATTCGACTATGTAGAAATCCTCACCAAGATCAATCAACGGAAAATCCTCGGTTGGCTTCCATAACTGAAGAATCTTTTGTTTGAAATATTGATGTGCTATTCTCTTTCCAAATAATTTAATGATTACTGATAATTTCCATGATTGATAGATTCAGGGTTTTTCCTCCGGTGATAGTATTATGACATATTGTTCTTCACTTGGTTGAAGATCTTTCTGTGAGTCTATGGTGTAATCCTCCAGTGGTTCTTCAATTCTGTCGGGTGTTAATAACTTTTCCAGGAAGTAGGATTTCATCATAACATTGCACTAATTGGTGGCGTGACAAAAGTTTCACTTCCCCCACCATGCCAACATTATGGAAACCTTCTATAGATGAAAAACATATGAGAAAATCTACGTTCATTACAAGAGAGCATTTTTATTAAAGGTGGGTTATCTATTCACCTGTGGAGCTTAATTATGCATAAAAGCTTCTTCCTGAAATACCCATTTCGATTTTTTGTATTATTCAGCAACTCTGAGGACTTCACCGTGTTGAAATCGCAAGTAGAAAGACAGAGAAGGGATGTAGAGATGGAGGAAAGGAAGAGAGTAGAAGAAATATAGCAGAGATGGAGGAGGAAAACAAGAAAAGGGACTGGGTCTAGGGATTTTGTTAGTAAGGGGTATTGTAGGATTAGGAAATTTATGGGATAAAATGGTAAAATCAAAGGTCTACGCAAAATGACTTTTAAGCTAAAAAGCCATTTTGAACCTTTTGACTTAAATTAAGCACTTTCTTTTTTCCTCTGTCAAACACCCAAATAAACTAAAAATAGCTTAAAAGCTCTCTTTCTCTCTTACATAATAATTTCACCAGATCTGTTAAAACATTTTCTTCTCTAATTTTTCTTGGATTAAAAACACGGTTGTGTTTCTTTATGTTGACACCGAATTTCCTCCTTCCTAATCAAAACACTTTGCATCTTATTACATTATTTTTCAAAATAATGCAACACTATAAGTGAAGAAAATCCCAACCAGCGTTTTCCGATTCTTAAATAAATGATGAAGATTATCGTGAAACATTTACAATAGAGTCAAGTTATATAATTTCACAATAGATGTTATTTGTCTTAAATTTAGTGTTTTAATTTACTATTTGACTCTATAGTCCCAAATAGTTTGAATAGAAAATTCGTTAACTTTTTTTTTTTTGGCGGGGGGTGAGGTTTAGTGTTTTAGAGCAAATATTTTATGCTAGTGTTGTTCGAATTGCAAGTAGTTCTGCACCCCCCAAAAAAAAAAAAAAAACTGCAAGTAATTCTGTTCAAACTGTATTGCACTTGTTAATAATATTAATATTAGAATAAATAAACTATTTCAATTACGAAAGTGAATAGGATTAGTGCAAATCTTTCTGGCACTGTTATAGNATTAATATATAGAATAAATAAACTATTTCAATTACGAAAGTGAATAGGATTAGTGCAGATCTTTCTAGCACTGTTTTAGAAGAGCGGGGGAGGGTGCTGATTTCAAAAGTGGAATTAAATGTTGGACGCTTAATGCCCAAACGAGGGAAAAGATGAGCTAATTTCATTTTTAAGAAATCAACAATGAAAACCAAAAACATTCTATTGGTTATTTTTCATTTTTAAGAAATCAACAATGAAAACCAAAAACATTCTATTGGTTATTTTCTTACTTCCATAATTTATTCCGAACAATTAAGATCGAATTAAAAAAAAACCTTGTACAACCCGGACGGTCATTTTGAGAGTTGTAGCCCCGCTCCCCCATTTACTACTCATTTTATGTTTTATAGTTGCTATTTGACTTGTTGGGGTAGTTGGTTCGGTCCGGAAAGGTTTCAGAATGAGTTGAGACACTTAGTCTCAAGGTTGAAAGCTTAAGTTAAAAAGGTTGACCGAGTGTTGACTTGTGTGTAAATGGCTCCGGAACGGAGTTCTGATGGTTCTGTTAGCTCCGTTGGATAATTTTGGACTTAGGAGCGTGTCCAGATAGTGATTTGGAGGCCCATAGTTGAATGAGGCTTGAAATGGCGAAAGTTAAAAATTTAGAAGTTGACCGAGAGTGAACTTTGTGGTTACCGGGCTCAGATTGGGGTTCCGGGAGTTGGAGTAGATTCGTGGTGTCATTTATGACATGTGTGCAAAATTTGAGGTCAATCGGATGTGATTTGATAGGGTTCGGCATCGAATGTAGAAGTTAGAAGTTCAAAAGTTCATTAGGCTTGAATCGATGCGCGATTCGTGGTTTTAGCGTTGTTTGATGGGATTTGAAGGCTCGACTAAGTTCGTATGATGTTTTGGGACTTGTTGGTATGTTTGGTTGAGGTCCCGGAGGCCTCGGGTGAGTTTCGGATGGTTAACAAATCAATTTTGGACTTAGAGGTTGGCTGAAGTTTTGTGGTGTCTATGTATCTGGTTTCCTCTTTCGCGATCGCAAAGAAAGGGACGCGATCGCTAAGAGCTGTTGCTGGCTGGTGGTGATTTATTCTCCGCGTTCGCGATATTAGGCCCGCGTTCGCGTAGCTTTGAGAGTCTCAAGTCATCGCGGACGCGAAAAGGTTCACGCGTTCGTGTAGAGGAGTGGTCAGGTCGGGTAAGCATCGCGTTCGCAGTAGTATCTTCGTATTCGCGTAGACTATTTTGGAGGTTGTGATTATTTGTTCTTCGCGATCGCGACGTAGGTTCCGCGATCGCGATGCATAATGCTTGGACAGAAACATAAATTTTTCAAAACGAGGGTTTGGGTTCATTTTCACAATTTGATTTTGGGAGCTCGGTGGGAGGCGATTCTTGGAGAGATTTTCAAGGAAGTGATTGGCTAAGTGATTCTTACTTAGTTTTTGGTTAAATTTCATGTTTATATCTTTGATTTCATCATTTAATTAGTGAATTGGGTTGAAAATTTAGGGGGAAATGGAGGAAAGTCCTTAGGCCGAATTTTGGGGATTTGATCAAGATTTTGATATCGGATTTGTGTAATTCTTGTATGGTTGGAATTGATATCAAATGGGTGTTGGGATTTTATAAATTTGGTCGGGTTCTGAGACGTGGACCGGGTCGACTTTTTGGAGCGATTTTTCAATTCTTAGCTAAGATCATTATTTCATAATTTAAATTAGTTTCCTATAGTTATATTTATAGTATGAAATTGTTTTGGCTAGATTCGAGCCGTTTGGAGTTGGAAAATCGAGAGAAAGGCCTTCTAATTATTGATTGAGCAGGGTTTGAGGTAAGACTTGTCTAACCTTGTGTAGGAAAAATTCCCCTTAGGATTAGGTATTTTGGTGATAATTTGTGATATGTGAAGGCCGTGTACGCAAGGTGACGGTGCGTACACGGGCTAAATGTTGAAATTCCGATTTTTGCTACATAGTTTCCTTTTCATGCCTAATTGAGTCACTTTAGCACGTTCTAGTCATCATGTTTAGCCTAATCTCACATGTCTACTTGTCTTATCTCCCATTTGCAACTTGTATAACATGTTTAGTGAATTACTCGCTTTTCTTGATTTCCGTATTCATTACGTAACTGTGGAAATTCTTTACTTAGAATTGCTATCCTTGAAATATCATTTATTTAGTTATTGTGTTTTTGGCTTTCGTATTATTGTTGAAGTGCTATTATTATTGTTGAACGAGGTTTTTGCCGTGCGGTTATTGTTTGCACAAGGTTTTTGCCATGCGGTTGTTACTGTTGCACGAGGTTTCTGCTGTGCCATTGTGATTATTGATACGCTGCGGTGGTATAAGGTCTGGGTGTTGAAATGCATGCGGTGAGATAAGGTGGGCTTGATACGCGTGGCTAGTAGGGGAACTACTAGAAGCCATGCGGTGTGATAAGGTGAGCTAAAACGTGGAATGCTATTTCGGGAAAATGATTTTCAAAAACCAAATATAAAGGCTCTTAGGAACTGTTAGGAAAAGCTTCACTTCTTTGATTTCTTATCGTGCGAAATCCTTAACTTCAGATTCTAAATTTTTGTCTTTCTATTCTCTCACACATGGTGAGGACATGTATAGCTGGATCAGATGACCAGACACCCGCGCTCCCTGCTAGAGCCGCGAGAGGCCAGAGACGGGGTAGAGGCCGAGGACGTCCACGTGGTGCAGCAAGAGCACCCGCACGAGCTGCTACAGAGGAGCTACCAGTAGCTCTAGTTGGAGGGCAGGCACCCGAGATGCCTGTTACTGTACCAGCTCTCTAGGAGACTTTCGCCCAGTTTCTGAGCATGTTCGGCACTTTAGCTCAGGCAGAGTTGATCCCACTTTCTCCTGCTACATCTCCGGCCAGGGGAGGAGCACAAACTCCCGCCGCCCGTACCCCAGAGCAGCGGGTCTAGGTTGACCAGGTCTCAAAGGTCATACCAGTACAGCCGGTAGTCCCAGTTCAGCCCGATTTTAGGGCATCAGCTTCTGAGGAGGAGCAACTCAGGCTCGAGAGGTACAAGAAGTACCACCCTCTTACTTTTAGTGGCTTGGCGTCAGAGGATGCCCAGGATTTTCTTGAGGAGTGCCACCGTATTCTTTGTACTATGGGTATTCCGGAGTCTAGTGGGGTTGCTTTCACTACGTTCCTGTCACGACCCGAACCGATGGGCCGCGACGGGCACCCGGTGCCTTACCCAACCGAGCACCAACGTAACGTATCTTTCTTATCATACCATCATGAGTAAATGGGCCAGAAGGGCCGTCATGATATAACCAGAATAAAACATAAGGGGATACTCGACATAGGATGACCCAACATGGAATACAAACTTATACATGTGACATACGGGCCTATAAGACCGACATGATCATTTGTACACTCAAAACATAGGCCGACAAGGCCATACAAGTATCCATATACATGACATCTATCTACAAGCCTCTAATAGTACATAAACGTCATAAAGGTCGGGACAGGGCCCCGCCATACCAATCAATACATGTCCAAATCATATTGACCAAATAGGCAACTCCGGAGTAAGTGGAGTGCACCAACACCTTCCGCTGAGCTAATAGCTTACTAGGAGGACTCTCAACCTGTCTATTGGGACCTGCGGGCATGAAACGCAGCATCCCCAGGAAAAAGGGACGTCAGTATAAATAAAGTACCGAGTATGAAAGGCATGAAAACAGTATATAAAAGACATGAAAGAAACATGGAGTAAAGAACTCAACCTGTAAGTCTGAATAGCTCTATGAATCATGAAACATTTATAAT